CTCTTCCACAACATCCTTGTTCACAAGCATACTACTAATTGAAGCTATAGAACACTGCCTTACGTTTTATATTCAAAATTTCTTGGCGTTTCAATACAACAAAATAATAATAAAATAATAAAAAATGTCATCTAATAAGAAGAGTGACGTGTGGTTGCACTTCTCGGAGGAGAAGGATAAGAAGGTTAAGTGTAAGTTGTGTGGTCAGCAGTTATCGGTGTCAAATAAATCGACTTGCGGCCTTATTCGTCACATGAACAGACGACACTAGTTCCAGAGAATCTCTAGACAGGCGCAACCTGTAGAAGAAGTACTTCTTGACATCGAAGGCAGTGAGCTCAACAACAACATCAGTGAAGTCAACAACAACATCAGTGAAGTCAACAACAACACCAGTGCAGTCAATAACCATAACCCCCATCAGCTCAACAATAGCACAGTAACACCGCAGGTCCCTACTCAGATCCGACCACGGGAATTAAACGCATCGCAGCCACAAGTAACAAACTTTTTATATAAACCTCTTCCAATAAAGAAGCAGCGCGAAATCGATCAACAGGTATTAAAAATAGTCCGTGAATATCATCCTTTCAGTGTAGTAGAAGACATAGAATTTAAGAAGTTGGTGTTTCTCTTGAATTCCAATTACAAGCTTCCAAGCCGAAAAACCATTTCTTCCTCATTGATTCCTGCCACATACAACGAAACAGTAGAAATTGTTAAAAAGCGGTTAGAGAGAGCTTATGCCATATGCTTAACTATGGACGGGTGGACTTCTCGTGCTCAAGACAGTTTTTTCAGCGTTACCGCTCATTATGTTGTAGAAGAAGAAAAAAGAACATTTCTTGCGTCGGACTTACTAGCTTGTAGTGCTTATGCGGAAAGGCACACTGGCGAAAACATTACAAAAAAAATGATTGAAATTTTTAATGAGTGGGGAATTTATAACAAAATTACTGTTGTGGTAACTGACAATGCTGCGAATATGAAAGCAGCGGTGCGCGGGGGAGGCTGGCGCCATTGGGGTTGCTTTGCACATTCCTTAAATCTAGTTGCACAAGCAGGATTAAAGGAAATAGAACCTGTTTTATGTAAAGTTAAATCAATTGTTAGGTTTTTTTCAAAGAGTAGTCATGCCATTCAAAACTTAAAGCTACGTTAGAATCAATGCACCAACCAGTTTTAAAGCTCATCAACGATGTACCTACACGGTGGAATTCCACTTATGAGATGCTAAAACGATTTTTAGTTCTTAAGGATGCAGTTATTACCACTTTAGCTTTGGTAAAATCGTCAATGCCGGTCAGAGACGAAGAATTACGTACAATTAATCTCTTAACTAGCGAGGATTGGTTAGTAGCAGAGCAATCTATGAAAATTATGGAAATGTTTGAAATTATTACTACTTTAATAAGTGTCGAAAAGCACATTAGTGCATCATCCTTAATATTGTATATAAAACAATTAACCAAGCATTTGAAATCATTTAATATTGCGGAACTAACTCCCTCTGTAGAAAAGCTATTAACTAGACTATTAAGTGAACTGAATGAAAGGTTTAAAGATATTGAACTAAATGAATTAATTGCGCAAGCAACAATTTTGGATCCAAGATTCAAAAAATTTGGTTTCATAAACGAAACGGCTTATAATTCGAATATTCAAAAATTATACTCGAGAGTAGCTAACACAGTTGTTCAAAACTGCGAAAATTTTGTTAGGGATGAAAATCCCAATCAATGCAATTCGGTTGTTGGCGGGATAAATAGCGATCGATTAGAATTAATATGGAAGGATTTTGACGCTGAAGTTCAGAAGCACACAAGGCCAGGAAATCAGATAGCATCTGCAATTGTAGAAGTAGATAAATACTTGTCAGAGCCTGTCTTACAGCGTAAAGATTCTTCCGGAAAGCCTAGTGATCCACTGGTGTGGTGGCATCAAAGAAAACATATTTATCCCCGATTGTACCAGCTTGTCAAAAAACGACTGTGTATTTCCGCAACATCTGTTCCTTGTGAACGTATATTTTCACACGCTGGGCAACTTGTTAGCGAAAAACTCGAGAGCCTGAAATCAAGTAAAGTATCTCAAATTGTTTTTTTAAACTATAACTTAGGTAACAATGATTTTTAAACAACTTCCTGATCTTTTATCAAACTGAAAATTTTAATTCATGATCTCTGATGTATATGTATAAGCGAAATTAATTGAAAACACACTAAAAAGCATATAAATTCAAAATGAATTTAATTCATGATCTCT